GCCAAAATTTTCACGAGGCCTTAGGTGGTACTCGAGAGCGCGAGAACGCTGAATTTGAATGGGCAAGGTTGAGCATGGGCAGGAGTCATTACCCTAAAATTTCAGCCTCTTAGACTCAGTGGTTTCCGAGATATTAACTTACCCGTGAAAAACTTTCACGGAGTAGTATGTGTTACCCGCGGATAAGGGAAGGCTGAATTTGAGTGGGCAAGGTTGAGCGTGGGCAGAGGGTCATTACCCCAAAATTTCAGCCTTCTAGATTCCGTGGTTCCCGAGATATTAACTTGCCCGTAAAAAACTTTCACGGGGCCGTATGCGTTACCCGCGGGTACGGGGAAGCTGAATTTAAATTTGCGGAGTCACGCGTGGATGGGGAACGTTCCCCTAAATTTTCAGCTTCCTAACTTTTGTGGTTCCCGAGTTGAAAGTTGCGGTCAAGTTGCTGCGGACACACACACACAAACACACACACACAGACAACCCCGTGACAATATGCGTTTTGTACTGCTGTTACACAGCACAAAACGCATAAAAATGGAAAGCATCTTCCACTTTTCTGTCTTGTCTCACGTACATCCCACGTACGGCCATGTGAAGTATGACGCGATTTCACAACCGAAGCAGCTAGAACTCTGAAGTTTTCTAAGCATGGTTCAGAGGACCGTGTTTTGGTAAGGACACGTAAAAATAACATTCACTTTCCCCCTTCACTTACGATCACGTAGAATTGAATGTGATCTCTCAACCAAAACAGCCAGTGTTCATCTGGGCATGACTCACGACCGTGTTTGGGCAGTTGCGCGTAAAAGGGACATTTACGCCTCCTCTCGCGTACAAGTAAAACTTGACGTAACCCTGCAATCAGGAGAGCTGCACCGCCGAAATTTGCTGAACGTGATCGAGGTCCGTCTTTGAGCAGGTGCACGTAAGAAAAGCTTTCACTTCTCCCCTCATGCACGATTTTCCCCGCAACCAGGGCAGCATGAGTGCTGGAATTTTTTAAGCTTGGTCCTCAAACGTGTTTGGGCAGGTGCACATGAAAAAATCCTTCACCCTCATCACGTACGAATACCTGAAATTCGACGATAGCTACGCAACCAAAGCAGCTGAAGCGCTGAAATTCCCTGTACGTGGCTTAGAACAGTGTCTGGACAAACGCAGGTGAAAGCAACATTCAAATCTGACATAACCTCGCGAACAAAGCAGCTGGAGTACTTCAGTTCATTTAGTTAGAAGCATGTGCCGGAAAAAAAAAAGAAAAAACAGTGCCATCAGCAATAAAAACCAGCGAGGAAAACTGTGCAAAAAGCGCATCTTCGCAGCGACAATGGGCGCGCTGTCGACCAGGC